CTCTGGTTCCGGGGGAGCTGGCAGCGCTGCTTTCCTGCTCAAGCACAGTGCTGGGTGCAGAGGACGCCTCAGAGGCTGTGCTGGCCACAGGGCTGCTCCCTGAGGGTGTGGAGCTGGGAGCAGCAGGGGTTGCTGGGGAGGTAGCTGCCCCTGAGGAGGAGGCAACTGTGACATCAGCGCCTGGGCCAGCCTGGTCCTTGCCCGAGTGCCCACCCGATGTGTGAATGGCTGTGTGTGCAGTCGAGCTGGTCTCTCCTGCTGGTGTGGTCTTGGCAGAATCCGAGGTCTTCAGGAAATGGGTCTCCATGCCTGACTCAGAGACCCCCGTGGATGTGGGTGTGGATTTGGACACCCCAGAGTAACCCGGGGTTGAGGGGTGCGCCAGAGTAGTGGTTGATTGGAGCAAGGCAGAGGAGCGCGATTTCAGTCCAGAGGTGGTGTTCTGCATGCTGGGTCCTTGGCTGTCTGTTGAGGTGGTAACAGTCAGGGGTATTGACACCTGTGTCACCACTTCGCTGGTGGACTGGAGACTCTCTCTGGTGGAAGCAGGCGTGGAAAGGCTGTGTCTCTGTGTGGTGGGAGGCTGGGTAGAGGGGGAGATGGTGTCACTGTTGCTTTCCTTGGAGCTTTCAGAGCTGCTTTCCTGCTCAGGGACAGTGCTGGGGGCAGAGGGCACCTCAGAGGCTGTGGTGGCCACAGGGCTGCTCCCTGAGGGCGTGGAGCTGGCAGCAGCAGGGGTGGCTGGGGAGGTGGCTGCTCCCCAGGAGGAAGATGCTGTGACATGCATGTCTGGGTCAGCCTGGGCCGTGCCCAGCCCGCCTGATGTGTGGATGGCTGTGTGTGCAGTCGAGCTGGTCTCTCCTGCTGCAGTGGTCAGGGCAGATACTGAGGTCCCCGGGAAATGGTTCTCCGTGTTCGACTCAGGGACCCCCATGGATGTGGGTGTGGATTTGGAAACCCCAGAGTCCCCCACTGTTGAGTGAAGAGGAAGAGTAGTTGTGGATTGTCCTGAGGCAGAGGAGCCAGATGCCAGTGCAGAGGTGGTGGTCTGCATGCTGGACTGGGGCACCGCTGAGGAGGAGAAGGAGGAGGCAGGATTTGTCTGCCAGTCTGTGCGGCCCCTAGAGC